ACCCCGGGCATTGTAGAAGCTGTGCCCAAACACACGAAACGATAAGCCCGAAGCCCTAAGCCCTAAGCCCTGAGCCCTAAACCCTAAACCCTAAACCCTAAACCCTAAACCCTTAACCCTTAACCCTTAACCCTTAACCCTTAACCCTTAACCCTCAACCCTCAACCCTTAACCCTCAACCCTTAACCCTTGACCCTTAACCCTTGACCCTTAACCCTTAAACCCTGAACCCTTAACCCTTAACCCTCAACCCTTGACCCTTGACCCTTGACCCTTAACCCTTAAACCCTTAACCCTTAAACCCTAAACCCTAAACCCTTAACCCGAAAGCCCAGGCAGTGGCCCGACGGGCACACGCTGCTCCACGAGGCCGCGTTTTCGGTTTTTTTGATTGCAGGGTTTTGTTTGGGGTTTAGGGTTTAGGGTTTAGGGTTTAGGGTTTAGGGTTTAGGGTTTAGGGTTTAGGGTTTAGGGTTTAGGGTTTTGGGTACGGTTTAGGGTTTAGGGTTGAGGGTTTAGGGCAGGTTGCGGGAGCCCTGATGGCTAGCGCCCTGATCCCAGAGATCCCAATATCCCTTCATTAAAGAAGATACCTTGTCCTTAATATGACTGAGGGTATATTCCTTCATTAAAGAAGATACCTTGTCCTTAATATGATTGAAGGTATATTCCTTAATTAAGGAATATGCCTTATCCTTGATATGATTGACGGTATATTCCTTCATTGAGGGGCAATGGGCTCTCCTGGACCCTTCCCACCCCTGAGCCAGGCCTCGCGCATGGGAAACGTGAGCCTGGCTCGCAAAGTCCTCGCCGCTGGAGCAAAGGTCGACAGCAAGGAGAAGCCCTAGCTTGCTTAGGGGTTTAGGGTTTAGGGTGTAGGGTTTAGGGTTTAGGGTTTGGGTTTAGGGTTTAGGGTTTAGGGTAACTGAGGGTTAGGGGTCTTCAAGCCTCAAAGAGAATCCTAAAGGTTCCCTTGCTACCATCACTACGACTACTCCTCCGCCTCCTCCTCCTCCTCGTCCTCCTCCTGCTGCTGCTGCTGCTGCTGCTGCTGCTGGCGCTGACACTAGCAATAGCACCAAAACCAAAACCACGCACACAAACTCGAACACGAACACAAACCACGAACACGAATGCCAACGCTAAGCCAGCACCAGCCCTTACTCAAAAACCTAGGCCAAAACCCTAAACCCTAAACCCGAAGCCCCCCCTTCACGTGCGACCAAGCCCTGCACCTCAACCCAAGACACCAACGGATTTCATGAAGGGTTTAACTAGGGTTTAAACCCTAACCCTAAACCCTAAACCCTGAACCCTAAACCCTAAAAACTAAAAAACCCTAATCAAACCCTAACCCCTAAACCCTAAACCCTAAACCCTAAACCCTAAACCCTAAACCCTAAAACCTAAACCCTAAACCCGAAACCCGATACCCTAAACCCTAAACCCTAATGAAGGACACAAAGCTGGAGTTGACGCCTCTCCATCTGGTCGCAGCCTCCTGTTGATGGCTTCCCGGGTTTAGGGTTTAGGGTTTGGGGTTTAGGGTTTAGGGTTGAGGGTTTAGGGTTTAGGGTTTTCGGAAGGGTATCTAGTGAGGGTGTTGAGAGGGATTTGAGGGTTTTAGGGAGGTTTGGGGAGTTTACAGAGGGCTTCGGGAGGGTTTCGAGGGTTTAGAGGGTTTAGAGATGTTGAGAGGTTTTAGAGCGTTTATAGGGTTGAGAGGGGTTTCGGGGGTTTAGAGGGTTTAAAGAGGATTTGGGGAAGGTTCAGAGGGTTTAGAGCGTTTAGAGGGTTTAAGGAGGAGAAAGGGAGTTTAAAGGGGGTTTAAGAGGGTTTAGAGGGTTTCGTGTATTGCATCGGGTTTAGAGTCTTTGGGGGGCTTATAAGAGGTTGGGTCATTCTGGGGGGTTAACGGTCCGGGGGTTAGGGGTTAGGGGTTTAGGGGCCTAAGCCCCCATTCGCAGTTCGGGTTGAGAAACTAACGGGCATGATGCAGGAAAGGAGCTATGATGAGCTTCAAGCAATGATTGAAAGTCAAGAAGAATTGGGGAAATGTCTGGGAAGTATCGGTGTCGTTTCCGGCAGAGTCTGACGCGAGAGAAACAGCCCTATCCCCATAAACCGAAATTCCTGCAACACTTAACACCCTTACCCTAAATACCCTAAACTCTAAACACACTAAACACCCCAAACACACTAAACACCCCAAACACACTAAACACTAAGCACCCTAAGCACCCTAAGCACTCTAAACACCCTAAAGACTCCACACCCTAAACCCCCAACCGTAAACCCGCAGAGCCCTAAACCCTAAACCCTCCGAGCCCTGAACCCTAAACCCCGAACCCTGAACCCTAAACCCTTAGCCCCGGACCTCCAAGTGGCCTGTGTCGCACACCAAGGCCTGCCGCGCCAAGCGGGAAGACATCATCAGGCGCGCCACTGGTGCGAAGCAACCTAGGGTTTAGGGTTTAGGATTTAGGGTTTAGGGTTCAGGGGTTAGGTTTTAGGTTTTAGAGAAACCCTAAACCCTGACCCCTGAACCCCAAGCCCGAGACCGTAAACCCTAAAGCCTGTAACCAGATGTGCTGCCAGGATGTCTCCATGTTTCCTACCCCGCGCGCGTGGGATGCCCGCGGTTTTACAAAGGCCGAGATCTGCGAGAATTGAAGTTTTCGCTCTCCACCGTCACCACAAGGAACATCTCCATCCTCGCCGCGTGTGGTGAATGCCTGCTGTACCAGCCACGGGCGCACAAAACTATCTGTTGAAGTTCACTTCTCGCGGATCAAGCGAAATTTCAGAGGCAGTCCAAGGGTTTAGGGTTTAGGGTTTAGGGTGCTGGATTGCAAGGCATTGCGCTCGGCTGCCGAGAGCCACTCTCCGAAGACCTGCAGCCCTCGTTTAGGGTTTAGGGTTTAGGGTTTAGGGGTTAGGGTTTAGGATGGACGAGTCCGTGCTGCCAGCGTGGGTGGTGCCCCACCGATGGCTTCGGAGCCAGAGGTGTCATAAAAGCCTCCATCTGAAAACCCCATACCCCGCCACACCCTCTTAGGGTTTAGGATTTAGGGTTTAGGGTTTAGGGTCCCGACAAGTGGCTAGTAACCTTGATTTTGGACAGACGAACTGGCTAAGAAGATTGGTCCCGCCGGGGACCAAGTGGCCAGGAACATTGGTGCCGGAGGTACCCAATGGCTTAAAAAGGTTTGAAACAATATGATGGAGAGGGTTTAGGGTTTGGGTTTAGGGTTTAGGGTTTAGGGTTTAGGGTTTAGGGTTTAGGGTTTAGGGTTTAGGGTTTAGGGTTTAGGGTTTAGGGTTTAGGGTTTAGGGGTTAACATGGACCAGGGGCGTGCCTCATCCTCAACCTGTTTACTTCGAGCAGCGTGCTGCCCAAGGGAGGGATTCGAGATGGTGCGCCTGCTTGCGCCGTTGGGCCACAAATCCGGTTTGGGGTTTAGGGGTTAGGGGTTAAGGGTTTAGGGTGTATTTAGGGTTCAGGGTTTAGGGTTTAGGGTTTAGGGCTTAGGGAAACCGTGAGTGCACAAAACCCTCTAACCCCCTAAATCCCGAAACCCTCTGGCGCCCTCAGCCCCCAAGCCCTTGACCGCCAAAACCCTAAATCCTCTGACCCCCTGAGTCCCCACTAGCACCCTGGACCCTGGACCCCAAACCCTCCACTAAACCCTAAGCCCCTCACGACAAACCCATCGACTCTGGGTCGGCTATCCTAAACCCTCAACCTCTCTCCATATATCCCCCCTAAACCCTCAACCCTAAACCCCAAGCACTAAACCCTAAACCCTTAGCCCCAAACCCTAAACCCTAAACCCTAAACCCTAAACCCTAAACCCTAAACCCTAAACCCTAAACCCTAAACCCTAAACCCTAAACCCTAAACCCTAAACCCTAAACCCTAAACCCTAAACCCTAAACCCTAAACCCCTAAACCCCCTCAAGCCACGAGCTCCCAGCCGCACAGGGCCCTGTTGGAGGCCAGGGCGGATGCCTTCGTCAAGTCAGTCGCGGGCTTTGGACGGAGCTGGGGTGATTAGGGTTCAGGGTTTACGGTTTAGGGTTTAGGGTTTAGGGCTTAGGGTTTGTTGAGGGCTTGTTCATGCGACCCTCCAGAGAATTTGAAGTGGAGAGCCGACTCAGAGCCCATTGGTTGGTTGTGAGGGGTTTAGGGTTTGGTGGTTCGGGTTTGGCGTTTGGGGGTTCTAGGTTGAGGGGTTTTAGGGGTTTGGGTTTTAGGAGAATAGGAGTTTGGGAGTTGAGGGTTTAGGGTTTAGGGTTTAGGGTTTAGGGTTTAGGGTTGAGGGATGCCAAGACCCTACGCCCTACACCCTCGGTGCCCACAGCTCCACACTCAAGAGTGGCAGCGGTGTCGGGCCTCTAGAACCCTCAGCCCGAAAGCCGAAGCCCCAAACCCTAAACCCTAAACCCTAAACCCTAAACCCTAAACCCTAAACCCTAAACCCTAAACCCTAAACCCTAAACCCTAAACCCTAAACCCTAAACCCTAAACCCTAAACCCTAAACCCTAAACCCCTAACCCTTAAACCCTAAACCCTAAACCCTAAACCCTAAACCCTAAACCCTAAACCCTAAACCCTAAACCCTAAACCCTAAACCCTAAACCCTAAACCCTAAACCCTAAACCCTAAACCCTAAACCCTAAACCCAAACTCTAAACCCGCGGAAGCAGCCGCGATGCCCGGATTCCGTCGCGATGTGGCGGATGGAGATCGCCTTCATCGATGCTGCGCCGTGACTGCACGCTCAGTGATTTTTGTGGGTTTAGGGTTGGGGTTTAGGGTTTAGGGTTTAGGGCTAGGGTTTAGGGCTAGGATTTAGGGTTTAGGGTTTTAGGGTTTAGGGTGTGCTGCAAGAGGTTTCCCTGGGTTTGAGTCAGAACGGCAACGATGTGACGCTAGGCTTGCTTGTTTCGGATCACAATTTAGAGATGTGCCCGCATGACCCAACTTGCAATCATGACCCAACCTCCCAGTTCTCGAATGGGGATTCGGCAAGTTGGCCTTATCTCCCCTCCAGGAGCCTTAAGGGACGAGCTAGGGAACCAGCATCCCCACCTCGGGTTTAGGGTTTAGGATTTGGGGTTTAGGGTTTAGGGTTTGGGGTTTGGGGTTTGGGGTTAAGGCGGTTTTGAAGCGTCTTGGAGAAGGGCACACGCGGCAAGCGCTTGTGGGCCATGGACAGTGTGCCCGAGGCAGCTTCAACTGAGACTGCCAAGGTCCTGGACAACTTCGAAGCTTACGGAGCCAGAGCTCCCGGATGGGTTGGAGTCTTTCAATGGGAGCGACCAGAGACGACAGCTCAAGTCGTTCAATGGGGGTGTCCGTAGTCTCCTGGTCCAGCTGCCATTTCGTAAACTCTCGTGAAGGCGCCGAGACCTCAGCACAATGCCCCTTTGAGTACTAGGATCTGAAAGGATCCCAAGAAGGGATCAGAATTTGCGGTTTAGGGTTTTGGGTTTAGGGTTTCGGGGATGACCCAAGGCAAGACGATGCCGCTGGGGTCTGCGATCCTCCTGACCGGCCTGCTCAGATCGACGCAGCCGACTGGCTTCGTCCGATCCAAGCTGAGGCCGACTGTTCTTTAGGGGGCTTCGGGTTGAGGGAGCCTTCAACCCTACGTCTGAAGCCCTTATAGAGCCGAAAAACCCTAGCGCGCGCCCTAACCTCTAAACCCTAAGCTCTGGAAATCTGGACCCTAACCCCTAAACCCGAAACCCGACCCTAACCTCTAAACCCTAAGCCCTGGAAGTCTTGGGGGGGGGGGTGCC